TAATATTAATAATAATAATATTAATAATAATAATGTTAATAATAATAATAATAGATTATTTAATCACGTGTCGTCCAATTGCGTAGAGCTCGTTCAAAATACGAACGTGCAGGCCTTCTGGTGACCGTAACACAATCCAACCCGTTTTATACCACGTGATGGCTGGTGCTCAAAAGGTGTAGGTTCGGCTCATGTGAAGTTCGACGTTTGACCTGAGCCTCATTTTCTATTTCTTATTCTATCCCTAGGTACAGAAGTTGGAACATCTGGATTGGTCTGAATGATCTTGGATCAGAAGGGGTGTATACCTGGAGTGATGGAGCGCCACTGTCGTTTACCTACTTTTCGTACAAGGAGCCTAATGATTGGATGGGAATGGAAGATTGTGGTGAGCTGAGCAGATACCACGGCAAGTGGAACGACCAAAGTTGTGGACTCAAACGACCATTCATTTGCCGAAAACACAACAGTGAGTAAAGGGAATGGAATGGAATTATGGTGAAGATGGTGAAAAAAATAAGTGAAGGGAAAAKAAATTTATTTTCTCCAACGATATACATCTATTTCAAAAAAAAAAAAAGGTCGGTCGGAGATCTGAAATGCGATCTGAGACTAAACGGAATTTTTGCGCTTTTATGTTTTCTGGCTAAAATACGAAAAATTACATTTCTAACTCAAAGGTCATGCTTCGTATTCCAATCTAAAAGAAAACATTGGGTGGCTGTGATAGCCTGTGTTGCATCGGAATTTTCTTAGTAAAGAAAATTCTGGATGCAACGCAGGGTAGGCTGTGAATACATTATAATTTGTAGCGTCCTATTCTATGCTACTAGGTCTCAGATTTTTCCCGACGTTTTTTTGGAATAGGTGTATTTAGTAAAATACACAGRTGATTAATGAAAATCTCGCGCGCTGATTGGTCGAGAAACTCACACTATCACACGATGTATTTCCCGTTGAGGAATGTCCCTATCGTCCCTTCAAACCTTGCGAAAAAACTCAGTATCCGAGAAGACTTTTGGTACGGTATTACATGCCCGCACTCCGCCATGCTTCTTTTAAATTTTATTGTATCTACTTATATATAGCTGATAGGTAAATTAAGCCTAACGTTTTTATTTATACCTGACATTTTATTAACAGATACAGTCATTCCTGCGTTTACAATGGTTCCACCGACCCCAGGACCTGGTGAGTTGAATTAATTAATCATCCAGGCATACCAAGAAACAACCGCAGACTAAAATGACTTATAATTTCAACTGTTCTATTCATCCTACTGAGCGTAACGAACTTGATCGGCTTCAACTGAGTTCGGGAGGTGCCTAGTAAAATATCTGTATAAGTAAACCTTTCCATTCATCAGTGCATTTTAAAAACTTTTTTTTCTACAAAACGTTACGTATGCAACTATATGTCCTTTATATAATATCGAAGACTGAAACAAGTATCTTAGATTTGGCATTTCATTAACCATGACTAGTAAGGGAAGGTGAGTTTTTTTATTTAGAGGGGAGGGTATTCAGTAATAGTTTTAATTTCGGCAAACCCTTTTATGTTGACGAAAGCCGCTGCCTTGCAGGCCGTAGCCACTAAAGCATCTCACATGCCCCTCAAAACTCTAGAAATCGGATTTCCGAGGGTCTCAATTACAAACTTAACGTGGATGCATTCCCCCGAACCCCTCCCCTGGTTGATCCCGCCTTCGCCTTTCATTTGCTGCTGAATCGGTAGACAACTCGCTCTGGTTACGGCCCTGGCCTTGTTGACTTCATAGGAGGTTCGTGAATTTCTTCTTGAGTGAAAGGGGAAAGGCTGCAACTACTTTTTAAAAAATTACTGCGAATCCGCCAGCCCTCCCCACCCCTCCCCCAATTAAAAACGTACCTTCCCTAAAAAATAAAAAAGATATATTTCTTTATACTTACTGTGCGTGTTCCTGGTTCTATTTTAGCGGTTGGTAAATGCAAACCGGGTTGGGTCAACTATGACAAAAGCTGCTACAAATTTGTGTTCAATCAACTTCAAAACTGGGCCAATGCTCAGTCAGTTTGTCAGAATGGAAATAATTCAAGTATGAGTGGCAATTTGATTACCATCGATAATGTGTAAGTAAGAGCTAACGAAGTTATAAATAAATGAATAAAATAAATGAATGGGATTTAACAGTGGCATTTCTACAGAGTAGCTACTCATCCACTGTAATTCTAATTGGAATTTAGGAGTTGATTTTTGTGAAGTTTGATCATTTGGGTTAAATGGTGATAAGTGGCCATATTGTAGGGCCAAAAAAATGGACAYTTTCTCCTTAGGAAAATAAAAAGCAGTGCATTTTTAGTATAGAGGATATTATACTGCGCGGATTTTATGGAGTTTTTGGTGGAATCATGTCCAACATGTCGTAACAGTGCATATATTAACGAAGGATTGATTTCTTCATTTAAGCTACGAACAAGCTTTTCTAAGCACCATGATCAAAGATTACCAAGGGAATTTATGGATTGGTCTAAATGACTTGCATACCGAAGGAACGTACTCGTGGATCGCTAACGCCCCTGTAACGTACGTCAACTGGGAGAAAGGAAAACCATCATATAACTACTATGCAGACTGTGTTGCTGTTAAGACGGGAAAAGTGTCGGTAGGTCGCTGGGATGTTCAAGTGTGTTCGGCTTTCCAAGGATACATATGCGAAGCTGGTGAGTAAAACACCTTATTTTCACCGCCATAGATTAAAGCCTACACCTAGACGTCGCATTGCTGTCTTTGGACACGAGAGAATGATGCGCATGATCATGTCTGCGCATGATCGTAGTATACATGCAAATTAGCTGAAATGTCTTTGTACTATAGACCCCTTGCGTGCACTTTGGAATGCAGCTCAATTTGGGGGACAAAACAATAGGTTTACAAATCTCAGGAGATTGGAATTCTTTTGTTTTATCTCCCAGATCGAGCTGCTTTGACGTCACATGCAAGGGGTCTATTGTGGAAATAATGACTTTTGACAAAACGTTGTCGCTGACCGGCTTCGCGACTGCGCAACGAGCCCGAACGGGAGTATGGGTAAAAATCACTGAAGCAATATAAACACTATACACGCTATACACCTAAGTCCAAAATGGCGCACGGCCGAGTGAGTTACATGAAAACGATGCATCCAGGGCCAAATGCAAAGAAACAATATGTTGTCAATGCAAAGTATACACTTGTTCACTTGCTCTGTCTTTCTTTCCTTCTTACATTCATGATCACAACAATTTTGCGGCATCAAATTATAAGAAAATGCTGTAAATTTGTAAATTTGGCCCTGTAAGCCTCGTTTTCTCCCGGCCCTATATATAATCACAAAGATTACAGCTCGAATGCTTCGCGTTCTGCGAAAAGAYAACAAGTGAACAGCTACTTCTTCRCTTTTCATGCTAAGGGCTCATGTCATCCAAACCGCTGTATCCTAGGCATGGCTCATCAAAATGGAAACGCTTTGAGCTCAAGATATGGCTAATAATATATGCAGCTAACCGCTTCAGTGATTTCTACCCATACTCCCATTCGGTCTAGTCGCGTAGTTGTGAAGCCGGTCAGCGACAACGTTTATTCAAAGGACTGTATGCAAACCGGGCTTTTAATCTTGCCTTACAAATTAACAGGTTTTTTGAAACTTTCGCATGCACCAACATTTTCCTCCAGTGATTGTTTTCTTTTATTTATCATATCAAGTTCACTAATGGTCACGACAGAGATTGAATTATACGGTGTCTGTCGGAGATGTGAAATCTGGAATCTGAGACCAAGTACTATGTTGCAAATACATTCATAGCGGAACAACATAGTTTCCTTTTAGGTAATGTGAAGCTTGACCTTTATTTCAGAAACTATGATATTTTTCGTATTTTAGCCAGAAAATATAAAAGCGGAAAAATTATGTATAGTGTCAGATTGCCCATTTCAGATCTCGCATCGACAACGTTTTTGAATTAGATGTATATAGCTCTATTGCTTGTGTTTCCAAAGCAGAATAAAATATTCAGTTTCATTTAACAAAATATATAAGCAAACAGTTGTTGGATGAAACTAAGCAGAACATCGTAAGATGACTAATACAGCAGTGTTGTTTACCAAGGCTGCGATCTTAAACTACTCCAATAATTGTTTGTCACATATCATTATACAATATACGTAGCATCATAGTTAACTATGGTAGCATACAGCTATTTGAGAAAAATGAATTGCAGAACGGTGAATGGAAATTGACTGATGATTGGCGATTGCACAAAAAAAAAAAAAAAAACGTGGGCAATAATCCGACTAAAACACGAATAATCAAGGCGTTTTAAGGTTGGGTCCACTACAAGCAACTTCGATATCACAGCATTAACCTCAGTATTATTGAAAAGACGAATAATAAGAAACACCAGTTATTCCAACTATTGTTGGATATTGAAATGAACTCCCATCTCCAAGGGCGGATCCAGCAAAAATGTATGGGGGAGGGGGCTCATTGAGTTTAGGGGGGGCTAATTGAGTTTCTTCCGTCAACACAACGGATAACAAAAAAAAAAGCATCTAATTCTTCTAATTCTTCAGTTTTGTTTTGTTTTTTTTCTGCTAAAGGCCCCCCCTGGATCTGTCCTTGATCTCCCATCGCATATCTGCTATCGCCATTTGCCACTCTTTTTGAAATAGCTGTATTCGCAAAGATAAACTGTATTCAGGATAGAAACTGTCAGTTGTCATGTATTATTTATTGTGTTTGTTTGTTTGTTTGTTTATCACAGCTGCACTTCCTCTAGGACCCACCCCAGGTATGTGTCGCTGTTTGATCTTCATAGTTTTTCATTTTATTTCTAACATTACCATTTGAGTGGCCAAGCACAAAACATTTCGGGTCAAGGCTCAATCCTTATTTAATACCAAATTTGCAAAATGACACATACTAAAACTACAAGAATATAGAAAATTGGTACAAGCCAGCTGTAATAGCCATAGGCTAAACGAGGCTGTTGGCAACATAGGGGCTCCAGGGAAACRATTATGTAATCGTAATCTCTATTGTTTCCCCGGGGCCTCCACTTGGATTAAGTTGGATCTTAAAACGCCATTTGCATTAATAGGTTATCAGACCATACCCCTACCTTTTCCATTTTTGGTCACGTGACCTAATTACAAAATAGTCCTATGGTCCACTGATAAGCCTATAAAGAGTGCACTTACCATGTTCGTTGCAGGGGACTCAAACTTTGCTGCTAATGATGATTTGCTATAGTCTTTCATATGGAGCTATTATATTTGAGATATCACGGAACATTTGCAACTGATCTCGAATGTATTCTACGATATAAAGCGCGATTAGGCTCCTTAATATAGTAGGAAAAAAGGCATAGATTTTCTTGCCCTAGTTTAAGAGCCTCTAAATGAATGAGATTTGTGTCAAGTTGTTTCGCCCAGCGAACGATTTCCTGCACTGAGAGAAGTTATTTTCTGAAAACAGAAGAACATGTCATTTTTTTAGAATAACTTTTTCTCGTTTTGTTAAATAATGTCAAGTTCATCAGTGTTGTTTATAAAAAGTATTCTTTTTAACATCGGTTTTCAAAAAAATCAAGTCTGTCATAGTGCACAACGAGGTTATCATATTTCAATATATATAATGATAATCAAATACGTCCGCGGTCATTAATTTTATACGTAATTGCAAAAAGGCGTTAAAATATATTATCAAGAATGGCAACGTATCAAAAATCTAATATAAAGATCTAAATCTAACATACTTTCCCGAGCAATTTGCCTGTGCTAAATCGATTTTTCTCATTTTAGAACAAGTAATGTTAGATTTTCTTTGAACCCATGCAATTCAGTGGAGATTCTAACATAGCAGCGCGCAAAGTGATAGCAAAAAGACTAGCTTCGATCTCCTTCCGTTATTCATGAGTCCACTTGAACTTTCTGGAGAGCCATTTGAATCAACCCTGAGGGGCCTCTTTTTAATACGTGCCTGTCGAATCATATAGTTAATTAAACTCGAAAGAAAATATTCTCCTTTCATCATTTTAAAGCGATTGAGAACTCCCCGCCGATTACTGATCACTATTTGCCAAGTTCAGTATTTTCCATGAATCACTTGAATATTCGTATAATTAAAAATAGAGTTCTGCTCCAAGTGATCTATGATTTCCCCCTCTCTAACGGAAGCTGATAAAACACTTGAGATATATCCTCAAGTCGAGCTTATTAGATTAACAAACCTGATTAACTATCTTTTGAGGATTTCAACGTACAAATACTAATTCCAGCCAGCCAGACGATATTCACAAGTAACCAGCCTAGCAAACAAATTCATTTCATCATATGGTAACATCGCGTAGGAGGTGTTCTATCGACAACCACCTACGTTCTTTCAGTATTGGAGAAGTGGGATCAGGTTTCAAACGCGCTACGAAGTTTTGCATCTGTGGTATAAGCTCGGTTTGAATGTCCCCTTCGGTTGTACCCCGAACACACGCCCTCGCGCTATTATAGAAAGGAAGTAACGACTTCAAGAACATACAAGATACAGTAATATATGGCCTCACTTCATTGATATCTACACAGACTTCAAGAATGTTTTGTTGAAAAATTTATAACAATTGTATTTCAACTGAGGGTAACAGCCGTTGCCTACATTGATGATTTTCTGGTGGCCCACCACCATGCCGTTTTTCTGCATTTTGARGACAGGGATTTTATCTTTCTTTAACCTTTATTTTCTAGCCTTTCCCAGTTCCCTGTGCAACTAACTCTATTAATCAAATTTACTCAAGTGTTTGTTTACTTACACGATCAAATTTTATTTGATATTACACTTGATATTATATGACTTACTGTTTTACATACAACATATATAGAGGTGGTTCAATCTTTACAAATATTTGTTTTTRAACAAGCAAAGTGTTCTGCATGTCCTAAAGCTTACTAGTGGAAGTGTCATTTGCTCTGGATAATTCCAATGGTCTAACTCGAACGGTTTGTATACTTTGAAGCACCAAGAGAAAAGATCTTCTGTATGTTTGGATCCTCCAAGCATAAAGCAAGGGATTTAGCGCCGAGTTGACATACAGGAAAGGTATACTGATACGATAGCAAGCATGGTACCAGCTTTGGCKCTTGCAGGATGAACAGATGTTTCCGATGAGAACGACAGTAAACCAGAAGCAGTAGGAGAACAAGAAACCCAAGACGATGTAGAATGCTGTCAAGCCTAGCTGACATTCTCTTTTGATTTGCAGTCTCTGTCTTTGTTGAGCATTGTTCAGTTGCATATTCATGGCCTTGCGAAGTTTKTGCTTGAYWGCGACATAAATGAACAAATAGGCGAGCAGAATGATTGACAGCGGAGCTACGAAGAACCCATAGTAGCTGATAATAKCAAAKGTATTCTTGTYAAGYACCAGCTCACTGAGGYTAGTTAGTAAACCAATGACGAAACAAAAGATGCAGATGACCAAGGCTTTCTTGGGAGTGGCTTTATTGCGGTAGAAATACGGAGTGGCTACTGCAAGCAATCGCTCAATCGAGAACACGACCACCACCAAAATCCCACTTCTTACCGTAAACTGGGACACGAGCTTCTCCTGCGAAACTCTTCCTACTTTGATAGATGGTATTCCGTTAACATTAAGAAGACTYGATACCCCAACATCTATGGCAGTAAAGGCACCTGTAAGGAAGTCCGCTATTGATAGACAAGCGACAAAGACGGCAGCCGYGTTTCTAAAGCATTTGAGAGGATTACGATACAAGGTATACAACAACATACTGTTAGTTGAGAACGTGAAAACGGCGACGATAAGGAGCGTTACACCTGTCCACTGAAAAACCTGAGAGAGTGTTTTATCCATTCTTTGTGATTCTTTTGGACTGCTTTAGTATGGTTCGCGGCTGACTGTTATCAATTGAAAAGGCTTTTGACTAAGGTTATCAAGCCTTTTATGATCTATCAGGGTTTGATATTGGGCTGGGTTGTTTGAATGATAGCTGTCATTAACCACAAGAGGTAATTTGAATCCCACTCAGTTTCCAATTGGTTTTTTAATTCCATCGTCATCAGGTATTTTTAGCGGAGCTGCTAACTCATCGAGTTGTTTTTTYATCTGTCCTTTTAAAAAAAAAAACTGTCCTTTTTCACGAGGGTAGCACTTAATAGCCTATGGCTAACAAACCTGTGGGCCTCATTCCGTGATCGAATTGGAATTTAGGAGTTGAATTTTGTGGAGGGAGGAAAACCGGAGAACCCAGGAAACCCTCGAAGCACAGGAGAGAACCAACAAACAACTCTACTCATATACAACACCGAACCCGGCGGGACTCCAACTCGGGTCGCATTGATGAGAGGCGAGCGCTCACACCGCTACGCCACCCGTGCTTCCCTTTTTATGGACTCATTACGCCACTAATTCCGTCTGTACGCCATCGCGTCCGTGTACACACCACAGGAGAAAACTAGTCGAGAATGGAAAGAAAACATTCCTTGGGACAAATTTTAGGCCAAGAACGACAACAAAAATTATTTTTATGTAGTCAAAGATGGATCAAGAAGTATTCTTCAATAATTCGGGTCTTTTTTTAACRATTGTATTTTTTTAACAATCGTAATTTTTTATTTTCTAGAAAAAGCATATATGTTCGTCTCCAATCGAAAAATCAAAGACTTTCTYTCTAAAAAATTAATACTTCCATAGATAATGCGTTTTAAAATTGAATTAAAAATAAATAGTATTGGCTGTCATGTTATACAAAATATTCGCCACTTATTTAGCTTTGTAAATTTTTTGTTTTTTAAACAAACAATCGTATATCAGTTTTATCTAGTAAAAGAAGTCAGTTCATTCGCCGGCTCCTATCGGGTCCTATCGGCAAATCAAAGAAGACTTTCGTTCAATGGCTTTAATATTTCTATAGATAATTTTTATTAATTTTGAATGAAATATAAAAAGGCATAAATCTTAAACCACGTATTCAACATTTATTTAGCTTTTACAGCTAATATAATTATAGAAAATGAGCTTATATTTGTATTGTCAGTTGAGGGACATGTTCTTGTAAAGTTGAACTGGATGTAAACATGTAAATTTAAATTGTTCGAAAACTTTTGTCGTTTGTGATATCTGTGGTTTTTTTTCACTAATGAAAACAGATGAAGACTGGTAAAATCGAAGCTCAAAATCTGGTACGCTTCTCAAAGAATAGTTGATAATAGTTAGTAATAGTTGCTTCTACCATGGAGGGGGGTTGAGTTCTGTTTGCAAAGCTTTCCATGTGATATTGCCGACATCCCACCCCTCCCGCCGTGCACTAATAAATAAATAAAAACCTAAGGCTAAAATTAAAGGGGGACTAGCACGAAAATCGTCCGAATTTTAATTCAGCCGAAACTTTACTGGAATAACCCTTAAAGGTCTAATAATCAATGGTTTTAAAGTTTTGTTTCTGATATTCGGGTGGCAAGTATTATGTTTTTGCGAATTTTTATGGGAGTATGTGACGTCATACACTCAACACTTCATTGTGGTATTTTGTAATCAAAATATCTTCTAGTCTTATACTCAGTATTGAAGAAAAGATACCATAAAATGATTCTGAACCACAAGTTATGTACGTTAAGTCCCTAAGCGGACTTTTGGGCTCAATAGAATTCAAGTAAAACATGAAGTTATTTACAAAGAAATGTATGGAGCGATGTTTAGTATTGAGTGTATGACGTCACAGACACCTATAGAAAGTTCGTAAAAATATAACACTTCCAATGCGTTTACCACTCCTGGGTGGA